TAACATGAAAATTTTGTGTTGAAAAATTCTTATATTCGAAACTTAGAAAAATCTAAAAACATAATAAAACATATGATAGGTGCAAAACCACTATAGGTGCATTTTATAATAAATGATGAAAGGTATTATATTTAATGGTAACAAATTTATTTTGTGAAATGAGAGATTCAAACATAAATTTTCATATTAGTGTTAGTATTTTGATTAGGGTTAGGGTTTCGGAAACGGTTTTTAGGAGCGTAGAGCATTTTACTTAGAATATTTTGTTTTCCAGTTTTTGAGATATACATAGGTGTACAACACCATAGGTGCGTTTTAGTAAAAGTCCTTTTCATTGATTGATTTAAATTGTATTGAAATTATAAATCGCTTGGTCGATTATATTATTCACTATCAATCCACACACATTCAAGGGATTTAGTATATGAGTCCTATGCTTACAAAGAAAATTATATATGAATGTATAATACAGTAAAAATGTTCAAGCTACGTGCATCTAAGCAATAAATCGCCGAAATTTAGAATCGTTTGTTTAGCAAATCTAATTGCATGATCATAAAAATCATATACGCTGTATACATTCTTTAGAAAAGTGGTACCAAGGATCCATTCATTATCTGATGCTGAAAGTATTTAAATGTGTTTTTTTTATTATTATAAAATTTTTATGACGATAGACATTTAATAAAACTTATACAAACATCTGTAATTCCACCCATTATCATTCCACTACATGTTTCTCGATTTCTAAATCGTTGAACATCTATCAAATCTCTCGGATCAATATCCCAATCAACACTGCCGATTTTTATTTTAACTTTAAATTCACTTTCACAAGGTATTACGAATTTTCCATCATGATCAGTTGCATTAGGGATTTGCTGATAAATTTTGTAGGCATCGTCGAACGGTACAATTATTGAGGATATTCCTGAAACAATTTTTCCGATACGACCTTAAATTCTAATGATTTACCATTGATGGAGAAGCCGTCGAGACGAATTGACCAATAAATATCATCGGATATCTATATTGAGACAAGTTCACCAGTATATTTACTTGGATCAATGCCGCCAATAATTAACTCACTCTCCGTCTCGTCCGCTTCTCTTCCAATCA